GCAGACAAGTTGACTGAATTTCAGCTAGGGGCTAACGATGTAAAAATAAATTACAACAGTTAGAGAGAAATCGGATGCACAAAATGAGAATTGCAAAGTGCAATTAGTGAACAGCGGGCGTAGACTAGCAAAACTCGAAAGGGGATGGCAGCGGGCAGTTCTTAGAGAAAAGGCCTGTATTTAAGGAAATTCAACCAAAAAAAACGGGTACTTAAATCGTTAGATCTCACAGAAAAACCACTAAAAATAATATCCTCCCCTTATCTTCAAATTTAAAACCAGCGGCTTGACCTAGTAAGTCGTACATCGACCCGTACTTACTAACATGTTCTTTTGCAGTTGTTCTCTTTCAACTTCCCCAACAGAACAACCTCCACTCGGCACATTGCCACATGCAATTTCCCAGCCCCCACTTACGCCCAATAATCCTGCGTTTTCCTTTATCCTACATACTGCTCCCCTTACACGCAGTGGTCATCATGTCCGTTTTCCCGAACGTTGCCAACTTGTACAATACGCATAACACTCCGTCTATAAACAATAACTAACGTAGATGGCGTTCGCCGGCCACTACAGCAGCCCTATGACGGCCCATTTCGAGTATTATCTCGCAAGGACAAGCATTTTACAATTGACCGTCGAGGCCGCACCGACGTGGTCTCAATCGATCGCTTGAAGGCGGCCTATACCAGGCCTCTTCCACCTTCTCCAACTGAACAACCTCCACTTGGCACATTGCTACTTGCTATTTCCCAGACTCCATTTACGCCCAATAACCCCGCGTCTTCCCTTATCCCTCAGAATCGTCCCCTTACGCGCAGCGGTCGTCATGTCCGTTTTCCCGACCGTTACCAACTTGTACAATATCCATAACACTCCCACATTTTCCTTCTATTAACAATAATTTTTTTGAACTCCGTTCTCCTAGGAGGGGGAGTATTGTAGTGACATTTAAGTCCGTTTTGTTTTAATCAGTTACAATACGCTTTGACACAACTTTGACTAAGACAAAGAACACGCACGCGCAGTTTACCCTGCTGACGACTTTGTGCTTAATTCTAATTCTTCTAATTGCCTATTATAACTGAGCAAACCGAAATGGAGTTAAATGTCACTACAATACTCCACCTCCTAAGGGAACGGAGTTCAAAAATCAGTTATTGTTTATAGACGGAGTGTTATGCGTATTGTACAAGTTGGCAACGTTCGGGAAAACGGACATGATGACCACTGCGTGTAAGGGGAGCAGTATGTAGGATAAAGGAAAACGCAGGATTATTGGGCGTAAGTGGGGGCTGGGAAATTGCATGTGGCAATGTGCCGAGTGGAGGTTGTTCTGTTGGGGAAGTTGAAAGAGAACAACTGCAAAAGAACATGTTAGTAAGTACGGGTCGATGTACGACTTACTTGTTGGAGCACGTGGAGAAGTGGCTCGAAGACGAGTTTTAGCCTGGCGCCATCTATGCACATAATCGTTGGGATCCAAGTCGGCTGAGCTTTGAGAGTGCCCGAAAAAAATCGCCTGGAATCCGTAAGGTAGTACTGTAGACGATTTCGGCAGAGGAACGCTCGTAGTCCGGCTTGAGTGCAGTACGGATACCGAGCATGACCAGAGGCAGATGCTCGCTCCAATGAGATGGGTTGTCATGAGCTCAGAGCGAGGCTTTGAGGTGCCGATGGGGACGTTCGACTAAGCCGTTGGATGAGGGGTGGTATGCTGTCGTGCGTATGCGAGAACATCCGAGGAGGTTGGCAAGGCTGTTAAAAAGTCTAGATTCGAATCGTTGAACTCGATCGGTGGTAATAGTTGGGGGGACGCCATAATGAGAGATCCAGTGTTCCAAAAAGAATGAGCAACGGAATCTGCAGTTATGTTAGGTATGGGAGTTGCAATGGGCCAACGAGTAAATCGGTCACTCACAGTAATTTCTATTAGTATTATTCGTTGCAAAGGTGGCTGCCCCACTACGTGTCTATTTACGATATTGTTAGAAACTTTCTGTTGTCCGAATTAAGCGCATTGTTAACAGTTGCACAGTCATTGACGTTAATGGTACTAGCAGTAATTCGGTCAGTGTTACCTATACCATAACAGTTAGTAATGTAGTAGTGGTCATGTCAGTAGTAGTATTCGTAGAAGTAGTAGAAGTAGTAGAAGTAGTAGTAGTAGTAGTAGTAGTAGTAGTAGTAGTAGTAGTAGAAGTTGTAGCGGTAGTAGTAGTAGTAGCATTAGGACTAGAAGTGGTAGTATTATTAGTAGTAGTAGTAGTAGAAGCAGCAGCAGTATTCGGAGTAGTAGTAGTAGTAGTAGTGGTAGTAGTAGTAGTAGTAGTAGTAGTAGTAGTAGTAGTAGTAGTAGTAGTAGTAGAATTAGGAGTAGTAGTAGAGGTAGTAGTAGTAGTAGTAGAGGTAGTAGTAGTAGTAGTCGTAGTAGTATTAGGAGTAGAGTTAGTAGTAGTAGTAGTAGTAATAGTAGTTGTAGTAGTAGTAGAAGAATTAGGAGTAGTGTCAGTAGTAGTTGTAGTAGTAGTAGTAATAGTAGTAGTAGTAGCAGCAGTAGTAGTAGTGGCGGTAGTATCAGTTGTAGTAGTAGTTGTAGTAGCAGAATTCGGAGTAGTAGTAGTCGTAGTAGTAGTAGAAGTAGTAGTAGTAGACATAGGAGTAGCAATATAGGTAGTAGTCGTAGTAGAAGTAGTAGTAATAGTAGTAGTAGTGGTAGAAGTAGTAGTAGTAGTAGTAGTAGTAGTAGTAGTAGTAGTAGTAGAGGTAGTAGACTTAGTCGCAGTATTAAAATAAGTAGAAGTAACATTAATAAAAAGTGGTAGTTGGGGTGTCATCAGAGTAGAGCCATTAGCAGCAGGGGTAGAAGTAGTAATAGCAATAGTAGTAGTAGTAGAATTAGGAGTAGTAGTAGAGGTAGTAGTAGTAGTAGTATCAGTAGTAGTAGTATCAGCGGTAGTAGTAATAGTATTAGGAGTAGTAGTGGTAGTATTTCTATTAGTAGCAGTATTCGGAGTAGTAGTAGTAGTAGTCGTAGTAGAAGTAGTAGTAGTAGTAGTAGTAGTAGAGGTGGTAGACTTAGTCGAAGTATAATAATCAGTAGTAGTACCATTAAATAAAGTGGTAGGTGTGGTGGCATCAGCGTAGTGGCATTAGTAGCAGGGGTAAAAGTAGTAATAGCATTAGTAGTAGTAGTAGTAGTAGTAGTAGTAGTAGTAGTAGAAGTAGTAGTAGTAATAGTAGTAGCAATAATAGCAGCAGTAATAAAAGTAATAGTGGTAGTAGTAGTAGTAGTGGTGTCGGTAGTAGTAGTAGTAGTAGTAGTAGTAGTAGTAGTAGTAGTGGCGGTGGCATTAGTAGTAGTAGCAGAAATAATACTAGTAGTAGAATTAGTAGTAGCAGTAGTAGCAGAAGTATTAGTAGTGTTAATAGTAGTATAAGCAGTAGTAGAAGTAGAAGTTGTAGTAGTAGTAGTAGTGTTAGTCGTAGTAGTAGTAGTACTAGTAGTAGTAGTAGTAGTAGTAGTAGTAGTAGTAGTAGTAGAAGTAGCAGTAGTAGCAGCAAAAGCACCAGTAATAAAGTAGTAATAGTGGTAATAGTAGTAGTGGTGGTGGTAGTAGTAGTAGTAGTAGTGGTGTTGGTAGTAGTAGTAGTAGCAGTAGTAGTAGTAGTATTAGTAGTAATTTTGGTGTTAGTAGTGGAAGTAGTATTAGTAGTTATAGTAGTACTGGTAGTGGAAGCAGTGGTAGTAGTATGTTGGTGGTGGTGGCATTCGTAGTAGTAGCGGTGATAGCAGTAGTATTAATAGTAGTATTAGAATTAGTAGTAGTGTTCGTGGTAGTAATACTAGTAGAAGTAGTGGCAGATGTAGTAGAAGTAGTTGTAATAGTAGTACTAGAATTAGAAGTGGTAGTAGTAGTATTAGTGGTAGAAGTAGCAGAAGTTGTGCTGCTGGTATTAGTAGTAGTAGTAGTAGTATTAGTGGTAGTAGTAGTAGCAGCAGTAATAGTAGTAGTATTAGTAGTAATTTTAGTGTTAGTAGTGGTAGTAGTATTAGTAGTTATAGTAGTAATGGTACTCGAAGTAGTGGTAGTAGTATGTTGGTGGTGGCATTCGTAGTAGTAGCGGTGGTAGCAGTAGTATTAAAAGTAGTACTAGAATTAGTAGTAGTGTTCGTGGTAGCAATACTAGTAGAAGTAGTGGCAGATGTAGCAGAAGTAGTTGTATTAGTAGTATTAGTACTAAAATTAGTAGTGGTAGTAGTAGTATTAGTGGTAGAAGTAGCAGTAGTTGTGGTGCTGGTATTAGTTGTAGTAGTAGTAGTACTAGTAGTAGTATTAGTAGTAGTAGTAGTTGTAGTACAAAAGGAGCAGTATTAATAGTAGTAATATTGGTATTAATAGTAGTATTATAGGTAGAAGTAGCCGTATTTTATTAGTAGCAGTAGTAATAGTAGTAGCAGTAGTAGTAGCAGTAGTAATAGTAGCAGTAGTAGTAGTAGCAGTAGTAGTAGTAGTAGTAGCAGCAGTAGTATTAGTAGTGGTAGTAGTAGTTGAAGTAGTACTAGTAATAGTAGTAGTGCTAGTAGCAGTAGTATTAGTGGTAGAAGTAGTAGTTGCAGTATTACGGTGGTGGTGGCAGCAGCAGTAGTAGCGGTGGTAGTAGCATTAGTAGTAGTAGTAGTATTATTAGTATTATTAGTGGTGGTGGTTGTAGTAAAATCGAACGTGGCATCAGTAGTTGAAGATGTATAGTTAGCAGTAGTATAATTATAAGTAGTAGTAGTATCATTAGTGGTAGTAGTAATATGAGCAGTAGTAATATCAGTAGTGAGAGCAGCAATAGTAATGGCAGTATTAATAGTATTGGCAGTAAAATTAACAGTAGCATTAGTAGAAGTATTAAGTGTAGATGTTGTGAGAGCAGTAGCAGTAGTAGTAGTAGTTTTACTAGTAGTAGTAGTTGTAGTAGTAGTAGAAGAATTAGTAGTAGTAGTAGTAGTGGTAGCAGTAGTAGTAGTAGTATTAGTCTTAGTCGAAGTATTACAAATAGTAGTAGTTCCATTATTAATGGTGGTAGTCGTGGTGGCATCAGCGTAGTGGAATTATTAGCAGGGGTAGCAGTATTTCCAGCAGTTGAAGCAATAGAAGAACTAGTAGTAGTAGTGGTAGTAGTAGTAGTAGTAGTAGTAGAAGTAGTAGTAGTATTTGTAGTAGTAGTAGTAATAGCAGCAGTAGTAAAAGTAGTAATATTTATAGTGTAAGTATTAGTCGTATTGGTGGTGTTAGTAGAAGAAGTGGTGCTTTTAGTAGTAGTAGTAGTAGTAGTAGAAGAAGCAGAATTAATACTAGGAGTAGAAGTAGTGGTAGCAGTATTAGTAGCAGTTGTAGTATAGTTAGTAGTAGTAGTAGTAGTAGTAGTAGAAGTAGTAGTAGTAGTAGTAGTAGTAGTACTAGTACTAGTAGTAGTTGTAGTAGTGTTAGTAGCGGTAGTAGTAGTAGTATTATTAGAGGTAGTAGTAGTAGCAGTGGTGGTGGTGGAAGTAGAAGTAGTGGTGGTAACAGCAGTAGTAGTAGCGGCGGAATTAGTAGTGTTAGTAGTAGTGGTAGTTGTAGTAGTGGTAGTAGTATGGTGGTGGTGGTATCAGTAGTAGTAGTAGTAGTATTAGTAGTAGTGGTAGTAATGGTAGTAGTACTGGAAGTATTAGTAGCAGTAGAAGTCGTAATTTTAGACATAGTTGTAATATTAGTAATAGTGGTAGTAATGGCATTAGTAGTGTTAGTAGTAGCAGTAGAAGTCCTAGTAGTATTCATGGTATTAATAGTGGTAGTAATAGTAGTAGTAGTAGTAGTAGTTTAAGAAGCAGTGGAAGTAGTATTGGTGGTAGTAGTAGTAGTAGTAGCAGTATGGAGGACATCGTAGTAGTAGCAGTAGCATTAGTAATATTACTAGTATTAGTAGTAGCGGTGGTAGTAGTAGTAGAAGTAGTAGTGATGGCAGTATTATTATTGTTAGTATTAGCAGTAGTAGTGATGCTGCTAGTAGTAATTTTAGTAGTAGTAGTAGTAGTAGTAGTAGCTTTAGTAGTAGAATTAGTAGTAGTAGTAGTATTAGTAGTAGTATTACCATTGTTGCTGTTAGTTGTTGTTGTAGTAGTTGTAGCATTAGTAGTAGTAGTAGTAGTTGTATTTGTAGTGTTATTTGTAGTAATATCGTGGTGGCGGCAGCAGTAGTTGTAGCGGTGTTAGAAGTAGTAGTATAAGAAGTAGCAGTAGTAGTATTAGTAGTTGTAGTATTAGTATTAGTAGTAGTAGTGGTAGTATTGTTAGTATTAGCAGTGGTAGTGGTGCTGGTAGTAGTATTATTAGTATTAGTGGTGTTGGTTGTAGTAGTAGTGGACGTGGCAGCAGTGGTTTTAGATGTATTAGTAGCAGTAGCATATGTATAAGTAGTAGTTGTAGTAGTAGTAGGATTGCGAGTAGTAGTAGTGGTAGTAATAGTAGTAGTAATAGGGGAATTAATATTAGTAATAGTGGTAGTGGCAGCCGCAGTAGCAGTAGTATTATAGTAGTAGTAGTAGTAGTAGTAGTAGTAGTAGTAGTAGTAGTAGTAGTAGTAGTAGTAGTAGTAGTAGTAGTAGTAGTAGTGGTATTAGTAGCAGCATTATTGGTGCTGGTAGTAGTAGTAGTAGTGGTAGTATCAGTAGTGATGCTAGTAGTAGTGTTGGTAATAATAGTGGTATTAGATGTAGTAGTAGTGGTGATAGTAGTAGTGGTATTATTAGTAGTAGTGGTTGTTGTAGTATTAGTAATAGTCGAATTGGTAGTATTAGCAGTAGTAGTGGTGGTGGTAGTATTAGTAGTATTTGCGGTAGTATTGTTATTAGTAGTTGTGGTATTATTTTTTTTATTAGTATTAGTAGTTGTGGTAGTTGTTGTAGTTGTAGTCGTAGCTGTAGTAGTAGTAGTAGTAGTAGTAGTAGTAGTAGTAGTATTAGTAATATTAATAGCAGAATCACTACTGCCATTCACCCATAGCAGAAGTTCTATGATTGGTTTTCCCCGGAGTGCATTCGATCTACTGCCTGCAGTAGCATTTCTTCGGACACCGGCAGTAGTCCCATTAGCTAGCCTTATTTCAGCAGACTTATTGAGGTTATTCTGTTAGTTGGTGACCTACTAGTACCGGTAATTACTTCTGTCGCGCGCATCCTAAAATAGTAGAATTTAGAATATTTTCCGTACTATTGGCTGCCGCCAAGTTAGTATTTAGATATGTAGCATTTCCGTTGTACTCGTTATAATAGTAGTAATATCAGTGGCATTACTAATAGTACCAGGAGCATCGTTATTAGTAATTGAAGTAGAGGTTCTGTTAGTGGTAGTAACACTATTGGTGATTTTAGTGGTTGTACCGGCAGTAGATGTTGTAGTTTACTAAGTTGTTGTAGTTGTGCCTGCAGAAGGGTTGAGCAACAGTAGTTATATCTGTGGAAGTTTTCATATTCCTACCACATCCGCTACTAAACCTCCTAGTATTGACGGCGGCGGCTTTCGTAATAGTAGTAGTTGTCGTCTACGTAGCGGTTCCTGATTTCCTAACCTCATTATTTTTAGAAGCATTGCCAGCATCCGCAGTATGTCTTTTCACTAACAGTGGCACTGCTACCAGCGGTAGTGTTAGTTGCAAATCCATTGGCAGTAACAGTCTTTCAGGTAGTATCCGCTGCGCAGATCTTGCATCTACCGATGGGGTAGTGGTAGTGATGCCAGCGGTACCGAAATTTCTTACCGCCTTACTACTGTTGAGAGTGGTACGCGCGTCGATTGACTTCAATCTCGGTGTCGCGAATGTAGTGTTGCGGTCTTAGCATTACCATATGTCGCAGTAGCCATTAGAATAGTGGTGGTGCTAATAATGACAATTATGCTGCCCGTTAGTGCAATAGTACTCGCAGTAATCGTGCTGGCAGTAGTATTAGTAGTAGTCGTCGTCGTTATAGTAGCAGTAGCAGCAGCATTAATAGTAATGGTTTTGACAGAAATGGTTGTACTAGCAGCGGAAGCATGGGTATAAGCCATGGAAGACGATTTCGAAGACGTAGACGTTCTCTCGGTATCAGTAATAAATGCAGGTGTAGTATAAAAAGTAGTAAATATAGCGAACGTAATTATTCTACAGGTGGAGGTAATACAACTACACCGTAGAATTGGACGCAATAGTCGGTATAGTAGCCGCCTGGGGCTAGGCATCTTCCCGATACCAACTGCGGTTTCCATCCTTGTAGTAATGTAGTTCTATGGACTTCAGTTGGGGCAGGTCCACTTGCATTCCGTACTTCTTCTACGAGAAACATATGCCATAGCATCAGAAACAGCTCTTATTTCAGTGACGGTAGTCGTCGAACTACCCGTAGTAGTAGCCTTACCATCAGAATTACAGTTGGTGGGTCAAACGAAATTCCGACATGCGCTTTCGTGTCGAGCAGATTAATTAAGTAGGGTTATAAGCTTCATCATCATGCAAAGTAATTCTATATTAATTCAGTTACTCCCGGACGCAGGCCTTTGAACGAACTTCTTTACGGCTGCATGCAAAAACTATCCTCAGTAAAAATGACTGCTTAGATTGCACGCATTTTTCTCACTGATCTTTGATGCCCTCAAAAGTTCAATTACACTTCATGGAAACATATGTTAAAATACTCATTCTTTTGCCCTTTTGGTACAACATTGCGTCTTCTTTCAATTTCGTGCTCGAAAGAAGGGTATAATTTGGTTTTCAAAACCTTTTTCCAATTCCCGATTAGTTTTGAACCCGACATACCGTTACATTTGCATACAGAGTTTCCGGACTACAAGCCGTATATTTCACCGCGTACGAAAAAAACCATAATTTCTCTACAGTATTAAGAGGACACCATAAGGGGTTCATAAAATGTAATCGTGGATTTGATGCATACAGTTACCTTTACAAGCCCCTTTGGTACATGCACATCAAAAATGGATGAAAAACGTTAATGCTACACGTACAGTCATTTCTTACTCAGTGCAGTTTTGCATGCAGTCGATAAAGAGTTTGTTCAAAGGCCGGCTTCCTGAGGTAACTGAATAATTACAGAATTACGCTGCACTATGATTAATAGTACGACCCTGCTTAATTATGCTTTCCGAAACGAATACGCATTTTGGAATCTCGGTTGACATTTTATGAGTTAACTCACCTAATGTACTACTAGTTGCGACGCCTTGAGGAAATGGTAGCCGTAGTAGTACTAGCACTAAGCTTATTATTGTTAGTTACCGTATGCAGTTTAAATACAGGCATCTGACCGAGTAGTCATACTGACATTCCTATTAATCGTATTGACTTGCACGACAGCCTAAACCATTTGCCGTAGCAATAGCAGCAGCCAGCAGTTGCCGCAGCGGTAATCATTTCAGTTTTCGTTGACTGCCATATTTTATAGAAGGGTTGTACTGTTGCTTGTGATGGCAGTACCCATAACAATACAGTCGCCGTTCTACAGTTCTATTACCTGCAGAGATATTGACAATTCTGCTTACAGTGCCACTGCCCACAGTGCAATACCGACAGCCGTAGATATAGAACTATTGACTGTTGCAGTTCTAGGAAATGTCTTTGTACAGGCCGCCTCATTGATGGCAGTAATATTGCCGGACGGATTATTGATTCCATTAGTAGTATTTGTAGTATTAATTCTACCCGAAGTCTTCCAGCAGACGTCGTAGGAGGAGGAAGAGGACAACACCCTGGCCTTCCTGGATGTCATCGTATGCCGCAAAGATTGTACTGGACTAAAAATCAAAGTGCTCAGGAAAGCGACAAATGTAATGCAAGTACCGAACTTCAATAGCAACCACACAATCAGCCACAAACCCAGCTGTGTAACGACGCCCGATCGGCGTGTGAAAAGGCACTTTAGTGAGCCGGAAGACAGGATTGCCGACCCACAATATCCCCGACGGAACCTCAAAGCCAATGACGACATGTGCAACTTTGTCAACCTATGCATACGCAAAAGGGACAAAAGGCCTAACCGAGGGGACACTAAATTTTAATGAGCGCTTCCGTATGTCAAGAACGTTTAGGGGGCTGTCGTCTGCCTTCTCACACCACTTGGGTTTGGAGTTGCACACAGGCCGGAGGCAACCAACAGGCGTCAGGTAATGAAACCGAAAGACCCGTTGCCACGGCAAGAACGTGTGTAGTCGGTTATCGGATCTGGTGCAGTTGCGGACGAAGCAACTACGTCGGAGAAACTGGAAGACAGCTTCGAACGAGAATGGTCCAACACGCTGTGACGGTGCGGAGAAATGACGCCAGCTCTGAAGTTGCGGCTCATTCGACGAGATCCAGCCACACCTTCAAATTCGACGAGGCCGAAATTCTTGCAAGCGGTGACAACCGCCTGCACCGGGAGCTCCTTGAGTCATTGTTTACTGGTTCCCCATTCCATTAACAAGTGCAATGACCTTTCCTTTCCGTACTCGTTGCTGAGACTTCGCCTAGGCGGAATAATTAGGCACGCGGGGAGCGCACATGTGAACCTCAGGGTCGGTGGGTCAGATGGTCGAGCCATTATCACACCAACATCCAACGCACATGATGAAATTGCAGCAATTAACGACGCCGATGTCGGCCATCAAATCGCCAGCTCATCAAGTGCAACGATCACTGATGAAGGGGAGGGGGAGGGTGCCCTGAATATTCATAGGTAGGCGGTAGCATGACGACTGCATACTATGAATACCGCAGCCCTTTGCGCATGAACCACCCGTATCCGCTTTTGTCTCCGTTGATGGGTTCGAGCAGGAATCCGAAACGTCAGACAAATGAAGCTTTTGTCCCAGCGATCGTGTATCCTTCTTCAAGACTGCTTCCTGGGACTCGTCTATTCGCTCCTATTGACTAATAATACTATTCAGATTCGGCAACTGGATCTAATGCCACAGTAATAATTACTGCTTTTGTCGACGGTGATAATAGTCTTCTAGGTCTTCCAATTTCGCCAACGCAGTCAATACCTCCGGCACTCCATTATAATACTGTAGACTTTTACAGACAAGAATGGAAGTGTTCCTACGGACGATAGGCACAACGGTAGCTACTGATGAAAAACATCGTCACCTCGGCTCCAGCTGTTAATACAACTACAGTGCGTGACTGATCTTATGAAATTTTAAGCCGAAATTCTGAAATGCGTTTTCGATTAGGAAGGATTACTTAGGTGGGTTTGTAATACTGATTATCATACGACACAATCTTATAGTATTTCGGACTTGCCACGATATCGGCTTTTGAATGAACTCCTTTTCCATCTCCTGCTGGAACGACACTCGGCAAAATGACTACTTAAATAGCATGCACTTTTCACATCGATATTTGGTGGTCTTATAAAGTCAATCCGTGAATATTTATAGGTAGGCGGTAGCATGACGACTGAATACTATGAATATCGCAGCCCCTTGTGCATGAACCACCCGTATCTGCTTTGTCTCTGACGAGGGGTTTGAGCAGGAATCCGAAACGTCAGACTAATAAAGCTCTTGTCTCAGCAATCTCGTATCCTTCTTCAAGATATAGTAGTGCTTCTATGACACAGACAGTGGACTTAGTCATTGACTTTCCTTACATTTAAGTTCTACTTCCATAAACTTATGCTTATGGAAGTTAAATTAAATAATTTAGTATCCTACTTCATCATGCCCCACACCAATCAAACCACGAAGTTGCGACTACTTATGTGCCCAGTTTTATCTACGGCCAAACCGGTTCTCGGAACTGATGCTGACGGTTGCCGTATGCTGCTTATGAATGGACGCGGTCTACAAATAATGTTATTAATTTTTGCTTTGCCCATAGGACAGTGCAGGCGATAGGTGTGTGTCAGTGCCCAGGTAGAATTACCTTCATAAACAATTAATTATTTTGCCTAGACACCAAGGCAAATTTCTCCGCATTCAATCTGTTTGCCGACCGGAGCTCTTTATTCTCTGTCTTTTCTACCGCGCTTGTGCAGTTTGGGTAAACTTCTTGGGTTTCCTTTCAGATTTACTGCAGCAGTTAGATTCAGGCGGAGAACCTATGTTTGCCGTTTGCTGTACTCATACCCGAGGTGATTTCTTATCCGTTTACCCGGTTAACATCTCCGAAGGCCGTACGCTGGCTTACCAGTTGACCCGGAGGGCTGGTCACCGGCTTACCGAGGTGGGAAAGTGCGTTTAGGTGGAAGTTAGGAGAATTCATGCTGTGGTTAAATGCGACTAAAACGCCATCACACCATGTCGTAGGGGTGGTTCTTGCAGCTCGTGTATGCTTATCCATGCATGCGTCGTGTCATGTGACTCGGACAATGAACAAACACAGGGCACGTGAATACATTTCAGATTGCCTAGGGTAGTAGGGCTGGGGGGGGGGGGAGGTTACCGGATGTGATAGTGGGCCGGCGGTCATGTCTCGACGGCAGCCGGTTGAAGAGGCGCCGCCCAAGGCCAACACCACCCTCGCCTAGTGGCAAGTTCAGGCCAGTCAGAAAACTCGAGGGCTTTGTTTAGCTTAAAACTGTGAGCATGATGACTGGTCTGACGGGGTGGGGGAGGGGAGCATGCAGGCACGCGACACCGAGTGCGGCTGTGGGAACAGTTGTCGCAGCATTACGAACACTTCGAGGTCACGCAGGGTCGGACATGAAGACCCTTGAGTGGGTGTCTGCATTTGGACCCTACCTACCCATGCCTTTTCGTGCCAGCGCTTTGCGACCGCGAGAACAAAGAATACGGGTGGTTGGGGTGGCCGCCGCATGTCTGCAGGCACTTAGTGGATAGCGAGGACTGTACGCTATTCACTGACGGCATTCATAGGGACATGCCATCTGTCGACGCAACCTCACTACCTAGGCGGAAATGTCGCTGACGCAAATTAAACACGTTGCGCTAGACATACTTAGTTTGGACGGATGTGTGACTTGAAATTTAGTTCTGGGTTCAATATTTCGATTTCGAACGTCACATTATTCTCTTACCAGTGAACAGGCAGTTTCCCTGCGATCGGCAAAGGTATTCACAGGAAGAAAATGACTAGTTGTTCTAGTTTTAATCTGAAAAATTATCCTTCGCGACAACAGTATCCGTTATTTTTCCACTTGTTGGTTTAGTGTTCGCAATATTCACAGTTGACCTTTGACGACAGTAAGAGTTGTCGTAGCCGTAGAAGGGGATTACACAACGCCATCAGGCGTTCTGCAGAATGATTAGTCGACGTAAACTTCGGTCCACAAGCTACCTAATGCACACTCGCGGTAGCATTATCGGTAGCCCTAGACTTAGCAGTCCACATAGCCTACGTCGTACTTGTGCTAGGACGGCACCAACAATAGCAGGATCTGCATTGTCATATCTTAAACTGATTGTGCTCGTAACATCTTGTGCTAGTGTTATCGGTACTACCTGCGTATACGAAAATTGCCGATGGATGGACTGCCTTTCCATATGCAAACAACTGTCTTGCCGTATTACTCCGATTGTTGGCCAAGTACACAAACTTTACCTTTACGGGGGTTTACGCAGCAGACATACGTTTTCGCGTGGGGACTAGCACAGTACGTTTTACAGAAGCGGCAGTACCGGCATTGCCTTTAATCCGGTAGGACTTGCAGTAGGCTTGTTCCACGCAGGCAGTTCACTGGTGGCAGTAAAGCCTCGTTTCCACTACTGGCAGCAGCCCAGACGTAACCCAGCACTTCCACACGTCATTCGTGTTGGCGTATTACTAGCTAATTCATTCCTTTACTACTAGCAGTATCAGTCTTAACCATTACTTCTGCTATCTGCTGTTCGGCAGATAAAGGTAACAGTGACATACTTAGTACTATCGGTCAGCGATATGAGTCAGTGTGCTAAGTCTACAAATGTTAACTGGATTTCTGAAAGGTGTTTTCGTTTCGAAAAGATTACTTAAGTAGGGTTTCGAATCTAATAATCACGTACCTTAATCATATAATAATTCATTTACCGCAGGACGCTGGCTTTCAAAGGAACATCTTTCCGGCCGCATGCAACACCGGCCTTTCGCAAAAAATGACTATTTATGTAGTATGATTTTTTTCGTAGACTTTAGAGCGCCTTGCAAATTAAATTCCATGTCATGGGAAGCACGCATGAACTTATTCTTTCTTTCACTCATTCATTAGAAAATTACGTCTTCTTTAAATTTTATACTCAAAGGAAGGGTATAATTTGGTTTTCTAAACATCTTCCAATTCCCGATTTATTTTGAGCCCTACCTGCGGTTACGCATGCATTCAAGGTTCAGAACCTACACATCATATATTTTCTGCGTGAGGAATATCATACATTAAGAGGAAACCATAAGGGGTTCATTAAATCTTGCAGGGAACTTGAGTTATATCGTAAACTTTACAAGCAACATTACTAACTACAGGAGTATAATGTTTTATGGACGGTCATTTCACGGAATTAAAACATCTCATGACATTGGGTAGATAAAAATACGTAGATCGTGGCCCGCTATACTACTCGTAAGTAACCACATTAATAGGAGACTTCGTCCTATTCGTTTGTTATCTCCTTTTACGACACTGTCGACTACTTATTAGTTCTTTGCCTGCGGAGGTAGCGCTCTCTTATTTAGTATGGGTCTTCCAGTCCGTACGATGAAGGCGAGTAGTATAACCAATCTAATGAACTCATGCAGTTGTCTAAGCCGCAGAGAATTTCTTAGACTTCCTGCTCATATAAGTAATAATTGTAGACAATTAGTTGCAAGGCAGACTACTTGCGTTTTCCGGGTCTTTTACTCATGTTATCTGTTCGCTCACTCCTCCCCTTCCCTACCGGTTCCAGCCTGCATGAGTACACGATAACGTACACACCTGTAGGTGCGTCGAGTACTTAGAAATGGCGATGCATGCTTTGAAATACTCCTTACCGTACTCGGGACTTACTTTCATAATAGACCACACTGTGTTACCTAGGCAAACGTTTTACTGTCAATGGCACGGTTTACTATGGTGGCCTTGTTAGTGACTTCGTGTACGTAATCTACCAATGGCATTATTATTAAGAGGCTCTCTGTTGAATAATCCATTCACATTCCTAACTGTCTTCGCGTGAGGTCCGGCGGATGTGCAAACTCGTGGAATGTTAGCAGGAATTCCGAAATCCTGTTTCGATTCAAAAAGTTTGCGTGGGTCGACTTGCAGCGTTCATTACCGTGCGGCATAATCCCACAATAATTCAGTTATTTCAGGATGCCAATAGTACAAATTATTATCATTGACTTTCGATGTCCTACTGAATGCAAATATATTTCACAAACTCCATGCATAAACACACTCATTTTTTACTTATTTAGAAGACAGTTATGTCTCCGTCTACCTCAAATTCCTTACCGGAAGAAAGGATGTAATTAGCCCTTTAAGAAGTTTCAAAGTATGAGATTACTAAGACCATGACATGCCAGTTTATACAATATCCCAACTCTGCATTTCCTAATATGACTTGTGATATACCTAAAATCCACTGCTAAATTTTATAAATCCCCATTGGTATCCCCTTAATATAATGGATAAAATATAAGTTATGCCGTACACGGCAGATGTACGACGTGCAGTTTTGGGAGGCCTGCGGGCAAGTACACTGGCAACTTGCGATCAAAATTGTTCGGGAAAAGGAAGTTTTTTTGAGCCGATTTACACCCTTCTTCCGGGTATAAAATTCGAAGTAGATGTAATTTTCTGCCCCATGAGTAAAAGAATGAATATTCTTATGCATGTCTTGTATGAATTATAGTTAATATTATAAGGGTTTCAAAATCAATGATAAAAGAAGTACACTAATTAAGTGGTCATGTTTACACGGGGTGCAGTTTATTCGGACGGCCGGAAAGAAGGTTGTTCAAATACCGGTTCACCTGAGGTAACCGATATGTCATGGGATTGTTCTACGCTTTAACTAATATTACAGCTTTACCTAAAGTAGGTGGACTAACTCAAGAAATGTCAACCGAAATTCTGAAATGCTTCTTCGTTTCGAAAAGATCACTTAGGCAGGGTCGCAAAATTAATGATCTTGATCTATAGTAATTCAGTTAACACGGGATGTCGGCTTTTGAAGGAACTTCTTTTTGGCCGCCTGCAAAACCCACACTCTGTGGAAAATGACTACTTAAGTAGCGTGAATTTTTCTCATTCATGTTCGATACCGTTAAAAATGCAATTATATTTCATGGAAAATGTGCATAAACGTAGTCATTTTTTTATTTCCCGGATAGAAAATTGCATCATCTTCCAAATTTTAAACTCAAAGGAAGGCTTTAATTCAGTTTTCGAAGAGTTTTCCAATTCCCGCATAATTTCGAACCTGACCTGCAGTTAAACTTACATTTAGACTTCAGAAACTCGGGCCATATATTTTCCGCGTACGGAAAACCTTCCGGTATTAAGAGGAGACCATAGGCGGTTCACAGAATTCAGCAGTGGATTTGAACCATATTGCAAACTTTACAAGCAGCATCAGCAACTACAGAGACGCGGTGTTTTATGAATGGGCATTCCACGCTTATTAAAAAATGTCATAATTAGGAACTTTTTCCAACCGAATTTGAGTGTAAAATTGGAAGGTGACGTAATTTTGTACCAAATGGGCCAGAAATGCATATTTTTATGCATGTTTTCCATGAAATATAATTGAATCAATGCGGAAAATTCATGCTACTACATCAGGTGGTTACTTCATTAACCAGTGTGTAGGCAGGTTAGGACAGAGCGTGATCATCTTCTTAAAGTGCCCACATTACACATTCTCCGCTAACCCTTACCTAGGGTTCGATATGCCTTCCCATACAGCATACTATATACTGCATTTCTGTCCTATCTGTTCATAGGCACACCATAATTAGCGAACATGCTTTACCTAATCAACCGCTTTCCACCCCTGCTCGACCTACCGCAATGGAAATCGTATGCGTACGTGAACGGCGCAATGGCATCCTTTGCCCATAACTACTATCGCGCACCCGATGCCTCTCTGCTGTTGCCTTTATCAGAGAAAACGGCAAACCCTACGCCATTAATTTCCTCCCGCCCAGCGCGCAAAACACACGCACTCCCACCAGCCCATTGGTCAGGCCTCTGGCCACTACCGCTTCTGCTCTAACCCAGCCAATAGCGTTAACGCATGACGTTCTAGGTCCTCTCCAGGCTTCTCATAGGCTGCTTTTTCAGCGTGAAGGTCATATATGAGGTTCATTTGATGCATTAAAACAAATTTTGGCGTAAATGTAATTTTTTAATTATCGCGCACTATATTACCTGCTGTTTGGCACGTTTTCGAGGCCCCACCCGTATAACCCCTCCTACCACCATTCCCGTAAGACAGGTAGACGGGGGGAAAAGTTTTCTTCAGTGTTGCGACACTGCATTCACGCCTGAAGGACTTTAAGAAATCGAATGTCGGTGGTATACTAAGAAATAAAATCAAGATGGCGGGCCTCGCGGAGTGAATACTTGTCAGAAGAAGTAGAGAGGGCATAAGTAAGAGGCTTGTGGTCAGTATAAATACAAAAATCTC